AACCTACACTACCATAGGTTTGCCTGAACCTTCGTCCAGAAGCTGTCCCTCAGTGGGCAACGTGACAATATCCCAGTCGTTGAAGGTAGCCTTACACCATTGCTGCCAACCTTTTTTTTTCTTTCCAAAGCTTGGACTCTTTGGCAACCAAAAGGTATCTATTATTATTCCGAATATGATATAATTACGATGGATGACGATACATACCGACGACAACATTATCGAGTTCTGAAGACCACAAAATTAACCGTTTTTATTAAATTTATTATGAGAACGAGTCAGATTAAAAACACATTCTCTGCTACAAGCATACTATCACCTATATTACCTATCATAAACTTAAGTTATCTATTAAAACTTAAGACTAATAAACCTACACTACCATAGGTTTGCCTGAACCTTCGTCCAGAAGCTGTCCCTCAGTGGGCAACGTGACAATATCCCAGTCGTTGAAGGTAGCCTTACCATTGCTGTTAAACTTTCTTCCCAAGGCTTGGACTATTGGCAACCAAAAAATATCTATTGTTGCGCCGAATACGATACAATTTAGATGATTAGGGATCCATAGCGCCGCCAGCATTTTCGAGTTCTGAAGACCGCACCAAATATAACCGATCATGAAGGTAATACCGAACACAGTCAACATGCGGCCGGCCGGCCAGAACCCAGCGTAGTAGTCTTGTCTGTGAAACTTCAACAGGATCCCAAATGAATAGTGACTGAACTCCATTCCAACCACTACCACGGTGAAAAAGATGGGGATGAAATCAATCATAACCGAGACGTCATGATCAAAATAGCCCCAAATATGGAAGCTACACATGAGCAGCACCAGGAAGAAGTGCCACGGAGCCATAAAGAAATAGTTGTTCATAATTCCACCCTTGCTACGGGTGCAATCCATGAACCATGAGCGACCCATCCAAACGATTGGCGCACTGAATCCCAAGACGGCGATAAAACTAATGATACAGGCGCCTGAAAGGTAAAGATCCTGCACAACGTCCGTGTTGGTTGTGATTTGGAAAAGAGGAATGGCTGCGAAGTATACGCCGATAGGACAAAGAAGCAGACCCGCGATAATCCAGTGTCTCTTGAAGTGATTGTTATACATTACAATCTCAGGTTCGTCACGGCAGTACCACATCAATAGCCCCGTGAAGACGACAATACACTGCAGAGTTATAAAAACGATTCGTGAGTATAAATAAATGCAATGGGTATAGGCACAAATATACGCAGAACGACGTATATTCACCCGTAGAAAGAAATATTCAAATAGCGCGCAAGAAAACAGTTGCAGAAAGAGAAATATATAAAGCGCGCAAGAAAACAGTTGCAGAAAGAGAAATATATAAAGCGCGCAAGAAACAGCCTTCACACCAAAAAAAAAAGTATCAATTACTGGCGAACTTACCCAGGTGGTGAGTAGAGCAATCCAGGTTAAATCGAACATCTCATTTAACGCTTGCGATTTTGCAGCTTCAAAAAAGGACGTGGATACTTCTGATACCAGTTCTTCCGCGGATGTGCCTAAAGCCTGATACATTGCACCTCCAAGAGCAACTGGCACCAAAGCTGCAGACGCTGCTGCATCACCTGTGTAACTGGCCAACCCTGCCATTGAGTCGCGAATATTATCCATAAAAACAGTAGGATCGCCGACGACTCCTTGCACAGCGGCCGAGACTCGCTCTAATGCAAGGGTACGGTCGCCGTCGGAAGTAGCCTTCGCTATCGTTGCCAGAGGCACCAAACTTTTCATCGCCGACTCTACAGGCAAAGAAGATGCTAACATGCCCAATGCCGAGGTTGTTTGCTCTGTAAGCACTTCCGTACTAGTGTTATCGTAGGCGGCGTTCACAAATACCGAGCCCAGATTATTGGCGAAAGCTTCGGCGAATTCGGCATCAGTCTTGCCCGTCAATTCAAATAATCTAGTTTCCAATATAGCGGATGTACTGGCCACATCCGGCACTTTATCGTCAAAAAGCTCTACTATACGCAAAAACATGGGTGTGAAAATAGCGAACGCCACTATGTATGCTATGGTCCCGAAGATCCAATTTAGAATGGTTCCCTTCAGGACACGTCTTTTTAGTGCAGGGTCTAGCTTTCCTGCACTTCCTGGGGGGTACACGTCACTTACTTCGGCATTGTCTGACTTTTTGTGATCGTCCAGCACGTCTCTACTAGGTGTGTCAAGTATCGCAGTAGTTGACGGTGTAGCTTCGTTAATGTCGACCTTTTTCGACTCCATGATGTAAGATTTATGTCTTAAACTTTCCACCTAAACAGTATTGTGTGAGTGTGATATTGACGAGAATGATTCGAACAGTTCTTATACTCTTGTGGAACGCGACCAAAAGTCTTCTTGACATCGAGAACAGGTTCACCCAAAAAAAAAATACGGATATCGGGGAACCGAGCAGTATTTACTGCGTATATCCACATTTCGCAATTCTATCTATTTCATCGAATTATAGTAGGCCACCAGCTGAGAATCCGCGAAGCTAAAGGCGTAATATTCTAAATTTATGCACCGTCCCAACTCCCAAGGCTCAAGCTGGTCTCAACTCTCAAGTCAACTCTCATCATAAATGTCCGGTGTGAGAGATTCATGTCTCACACAGTTCCAGTATCACCAGTCACACTCCCAGAGTCCCAGACCCCTACACTCCTGCAGAGACTACTAGAGTTAGTGAGGCAGTGACCCAAGTCCCAAAGCCCCAAACAGGCAAACACTCCGTCACCGTATCGAAAATCTTATTGTTGTTTTTTAAATTAAAAAAAAGGCAAAGTGTATAATTATATATATTTTTAAAAACTAATAAAATGTATAGGTGTGAATTCAAAATTGTACACTGCAGTGACCGTGCAACTCTGCACTGCTCTGCAATCCTGAGTCTCCTGACCGACTCCTGCACGGTAGTGTGAATTACTATAAGTCAATACTCCTGAGAGCAGCACAACAGCTGTTATTGGACATCATAGCGCATGACCTCCTTCTGTTGCATACAAAGTAGAAAACTTGGAGTAATATTTCTGGAAATAAAAAGCAGCTTTTTAACTTCCTAAAATCAACAGTCCACACCGTACACTGTACAATCCACTCCTGAGCCCTGACTCCTGACTCCTGACTCCACAGCTAATCTCAAACCGTTTTCCGTTAAAACTTAGATAAATCGAATATATATACGTTTACGTTCAGCTTTTATTCCATATATGATCCTTTGTATGCTAACAGGTGCACCTTGCAGGTCTAAAGATTTAAGTGTGTACCATTTTGTCCATACGAGCAAGTCCTACACGACAACTTAAGTAGACCCTTCTGATCATATTATAGCCGTTATACCGTTTTAAAATTGAATAAATATGCGTTTACGTTCATCTTCTTTTCCATACAAGCGTACCCCCATAACGTAATGAGCTTAGCAGTCCACAGTCCACACTCTACAAATTCACACGCCACAGATTCACAGAGTCACAGAGACACAGACCAGTTCAACAACAGTTCACTTCTCGCTCTCTTCTAAGACTTCTCTCTTCTGTGTGCGTGTGTAGAACTCTGGTCTGTAGAGTGTAGTGTAGCGTGACTGTGACTGTGACACTTGTGTCAGTGTGTAAGGCTAGTTGTGTTAGTTGACAGTTGACATTCATGAGTGAGTCATGACTCATGACTCATGACTCATGACTAGTTATAACTCAGGCCTACATAAATTGTAAATACATATTTAGTCACTCTCTCTCTCTACTCTAGTAGACCTATGCTTATAACGATATGAGGGAACGGGATAGAAGTAGAACGTTAACGCATTCTTATTCAATTTCAAAACGTTAGAATGGTTATAATGTGATCAGAAGGGCCTATCTAAGTTCTTTTATAGGACTTTTTCGTATCGTGAATATGATAAATAAATGTTTAGACCCGCAAGTTGTACCTATGAGCAAACAAAGGATCACATATGAAATATAAGTAGAATATTTATTTGATATATATGTTTTAACGGAAAACGGTTTGAGGTTAGCTAGACTTTAGAGAGTATAGACTGAGACGAAAAGAAATTCTACCACAAGAGTCTGTATTTTCTTTTTTCTTTTTTTAAAAAAGAACTATGTCCTAAATAACCTAATTCTAAACTCAGTGACAGAGCCTGAGAGATGAGACGAAGCTCCACAGTTGCGACTGGCCCACTGGCCCCACTCGATCTCACTCTACTCTGTACCCTCTCTCCAGAGAGAGCTAGTAGAGAGTGAGTGAATATATTTTTCTCTCAAGAGAATGTATTCATTTATCGCAACAAAAACAATAAAACATCGCATTTGTAGAAAAATTATAATGTTTCATAAAAATTAGAATGCTCAACAAAATACAAATATCGGACAGACATTGTTTGTATTTTGCTCTGACACACATATATGTACTTATGAAAAAAAGGAATTGTTTCCATGATGATATTTATTTTGTATCACAGACATTGAAATTATTCTCAATAAAACAATTGTAAAACCACAAGTCCCCAACAACGGATAAACCTGCTAAAAGCGACTAGCTGCTGTAGTTAAGCTGCAGTTCTCCAATTGCAGACTTGCCTGGACCCGCACTTGCAGGCTGCAGTTCTACATAAAACTTATTGTATCTCAATTCGCCATCGACGCCATGTGCCACCCTGCCAAAATAAGAAACCGTTTTTTTTTATACATACCCAGCAACTATTATATTTATTTGTAATCACAACTTTCGTTTGCATTGGACACTAACTTCAGAAACTTCTCCTCATCGATACTCCCCCGACTCCAGGAGCGTTATATTCCTCGGAATTCTTTGCCTTCCTAAGCTTGGGCTTGGGTCTTAACTATTGGGACTTGGGACTTCGGCTTGGGACTTGGGACTTAGGACTTAGGACTTGAGGTTTGGGACTTTGTCAGTTTGTCTTCTTGGTCTTTGTACCTTTTTAACTCATATTAAGCCTAAATAGTAAAAAGTCCAACATCACTTTCTGCTAAGATCCCCGGCCCTATTGTATTGCAGTTTGAGACTTTGAGGCCGTACAGTCGTACACTCTCGCAGTCTCGCGTATAGTCGTAACATAATGAGGCCTGATTCTGTTGATATTGCGTATTTCTAACCTTTTTTAGACTCTTCTCTATTTTAGGGGGCAATGTTCCGTTGTTGTGTTTTGTTTTGTTTTTAACCTATTTGTTTTTTAATAACAAAAAAAAACAGTTATTTATATGTATCTAAGGGTCGTTCTTAACGGGAGGGCGCTAAAGAAATTTTAATTAAAGTATTCAGTTGGCCAGAGATGCTTGAATCGATTTGAATTTCAAATGTGTTTAAAACACAAGGACGTCAAAATTGTGCCTCACCTTTAAAAAAATGCTGTCGTGACATCATAAACGTAGTAGAGGCTGATTGGTGGTGCAGCCCGCCACATTTCGATTTATTTGTAGGGATAATATTATTTATTTCAAAAATGGCAAGTATGTATGATACAATGTATGAACATATGGTATGGCTCTCATAGTCGCTGTAGTGGTTCAAGAAATATTGATGGGAAGAAGTCTATTTGTAGTGTTGAACTGTTGATCCAACATAAATGTTTAACGACAGCGAAGGTGAAGCGTTCGGTTGCACAATAACAGGATATCCGTCCGTTGAACTAGTCGTTTAGAAGTGTGGTGTGTGTGTGTTGTGTAAGGAATTGAAGAATTGGATAAAGGTTCGATGGTCTTCAGCATAAAACAGCAGTGTATCGTTACAACAGATAGTAAATTGAAACTGGAACTGCCTCTATGTAACCATTCATATTTGAGCTTCCTCCAGATGAGATATCGGGAACGGAAGGAGGCCAAGAGAAGGAGACGTGGACATATTTACCCGACAGCAGCGATGAGGAGAGCGCCGCACATGATGCACAGCCATCGTCAAAGCCTTCTTCAGCACATGATGGAACTGATGAGACTGCGACAGATTCGGAACCGGATTCTGCATTCTTGAGTGATTCAACAACAACAGCTCGAACTACGCCTCCTAAATACCATTTGTGGTCACGTGATGCTGCATATACCGAACTCCGTCGTCGAGAATTTATGGTTGGCTTACACAAACGCGGTGTTCCTGTGAAACATGATGCAAAAGGTCAACTCATTTATATTCGTGACCACACTGCTAATAATAACAGAAAGTCTTTCAGTAATCAGTCAAAAAAGTTTCTTACAAACGCACTGATCGACAATGATCTAATAACAGACGGAAAGCCTAACTGGTATTCAACACCACCCAACATAACTCGTAAGAAGAAAACGAAAGTATTGAAGAAACTTTCGAACGTGACAAAAGTTGTGAAAGAGAATGAGCCAGCTCAAGAGTCGACTGTCCTCCGTAAAATAATAACGCGTTTGCACGATTTTGCTCAATTCTTGTTGACAATAAACACTATGATGACTTGGTATCATTGGACGAAGGGGACACACGAATTATGCTTGACAACAAAGCCACTGGATACAATATTACTTTTTGAACTAAAATAACAGATGCATCTATGGATACCGGCTATGCTTGTAATGTCTCAGCGGATACATCCTTTAGTGGGGACAAATACAACGACGATAGTGATAGCAATGAAGCCGACGATGTAACCGATGAGATGTTGCAGGCACGCGTAGCAAAGAACGCTCAGATAATACGTGAGCAGTCAATTCCCAGCACCGCCTTCAGTCGAGGCTGGAAAAAAGATTAGAACATTTTGTCAAACGTACAGAACGCTATGGTTGAGCCCATGGACAGAGTGGATCCTATGGATATGTCATACGTGAATCTCGCCAAAAGAAAAACATTCAGCGACGTTGTGTGTAAAATCGCGGTCCACAACAAACTAATAGGCTGGTGGAAGAACACATGTATAGACATAAGCACATTGATTGTCACACAAATACGAATAAAAGTATAATAATACACAAAAGACCACGCATACACATTCACAAAAACAAACTTAAACATAAAAATATACAAACGACCACGCATGCGCACACACATAG